AGTTAAGATATATAAAATATTAAGAATTTAAGTTTACACTAATATACAACATATATAATATATGTAGTAAGTTTGAACCAAATATCTATTTTGGCTTAATGGTTGAGTCATGCTTCTTCAACCTAAGAACCCCAGGTTTGATTCCCATGGGCATCATTTAAGCGTTTAACTATCACATCAACTTTTCTGTTAAATATTAATGACAATTGGCTTAATTGAATATATTTAAATAGTTGAGTGACCTGATTGATAAAATTTCAAAAATTATAGTCAAAATGAAAAAGGGTAATAGTTAGGTGCTCACTGGTACAATTTACCCTTTATTTTAAATAATTATCTTTAAATTTTTAACTAATTTATAATTATACATTTGAGCTCTTTAGAATTTTAATTTTTTATAAATTAAATTAATAGTGTTCATCTGTGTCGATCATTGTAGAAGTTTCCTTATAGATATAGTCTAAAAATTTATGCTCTTTTTAATTTAATTAATAATTTTAACTTTTATTAAAAAAATTAAAATTTATTAATCATTTCTATTTTAATTAATTTTTATTAGATTACATAGTTAAAATGTGTAATTTAAAATCGATTTTAATCATGTGTAAAACTTAAATTTAGTTTCTCTTTTAATCTTGTATAAACTAGTATTTAAAATATATAAAATATCTATCCAAATTTAACCAAATATAATATTTGCTTTAATAATTTTGTACGGTCAAATTTTATATTTGGTCTAGGTTTGAATCTTACGACCATCATTTTCCTTTCCTTTTTTATGGTATTAATTTAAGCATAATGTGTATATTATTGTGTAATTTACAACATATATGATGGCGTAGGTTGAGTGGTTAGGGCACATGCTTCATCACCAAAAGAGGTGTGATTGAGTCCCCTCAACTCTCTTAAAATGTTTTTCTTTATGATTTATTTTTTCATCCGATCAGATAGTGTCATGTGTCACGATCTGGTTAGAAAAAAATAATTAAATATATTAAATTATAAAAACAACCTTTAATTATATAGTGACACGTGTTAATATCTGATTGGAGGATTAAATTTAAATACAATAAATTAAAATCATGACTAAATTGATAAAATATATAAGTATTGAGGATCAAATGTGTAATTATACCAAGTTTTTTAACTGTCATGTTATCTCTTTCATTAAATGTTAACGGGAAATGACTTGATTGAATGCATTTAAATTGTTGAATGGCCTAATTGACAAAAAATCAAAAATGATGGTCAAAATGAAAAGGGTCTATAATTAAGTGGTTAGTGGTATAGTTAACCATATTTTTTAATTGGCATAATGCAACAAAATACCCCTAACATTTGACGGTATTGTCAAATTTACCCTTATTCTTTTTTCGAAACATTTGACCCCATAACGTTTCACTTTGGATCAAAACACACCCTAGTTGGATGAAAATCGTTAATCAGCTGACGGTCAACATTTATTGCTGAGCAAACACATTCACGTGGAGAGAGATGCTGACGTGGCGTGTCAAGATAATGTGGCACTACCAAGCTACTTGAAAAAAATGGTGCTGATTTAAAGAAACAGTTAAAAGGTATTCAAGATGGGAGGGACTCAAACTTGAGAAAATGGTGTGAAATAACATGATATTTATCACTAGACCAAGCTACTTACTTGGTTAAATAATAAAATAAATTCTATTTAATTATATAATTATATTTTAATTTAATAAAAAATTATATAACTATAGTTTTATCAATCTTATAGCTCGGTTTCTCCATGACAAAGTGGGCAGTATGGACACCGCTATATGCAAATTGAGCTTCCTTGGTTAGCTAAAGTTATAATTTCCTTTCCCTTGTCCGTTGGGAAATCATTATATACAAACACATGACCATTGAAAAACATGGTCAGCTGAGCATTCTTTGGTTCCACTGCTACTGCTTTCCTACATCAACAAGAACAAAACATTGGTTCATACATGTTTTGCCACATCAATTACAATCAAATTATATCAGACAACACACAAACACATCCAAAAATTCACACATAATTTCATACTAGAGATGAAATTATCAATAAAAAATATTTAAATCATAGTAGAATTTAAAATCTAATTTAGTTTATATACAAAATTATCCCTCTCTATATATAATGCTTTAGAGTTTCTCTCATTCAAATCAAAACAGTCGGAAGATGTTTCAAGACATGAATAAGTCTCAATAAATATTTTAACTTGATATGAAGCTAGATTAGGAGATCAAGATTCAGATATTCTAAGAATAAATCTTGATTTTGTGATTATAAAGAAGATTTTCCCCTAAAAAATCTAATGACAATTTAGGATTGAATAATAATGATTATTTTTAGCGAAAAATTGGATCAAGAAAAAAGTCAAAGAACAGTGATTTACGTACTCTAAAACTTGTTGGAATGAGTTTTCAATGAGCAAGCGCGCAATCACACACACACAATATATATATATATATATATATATATATATATATATATATATATATTATATATATATATATATATATATATATATATATATATCTTTAGTTTGACCCTTAAATTATAATTTATATTAATTTGATCTACATGCTACTTATTAATTGATTGAAATGATCATATTATTATAAGTTTAAACATATATATATATTTCCTTAGTTTGACCCTTAAATTATAATTTAATTTTAATTTGATCTACGTGCTACTTATTAATCGATTGCATTAATCATATTATTATAAGTTTAAACTTGATTCGAGTTGACTCATTTTATATATACTTATAAATTAAATTGTATGTCGTGAAACTCTTTTCATCAAACCCAAGACAGTCGTAAAAATAGGATGAGAATAAAATGCAATAGGTTAATATAAGATTAAAAAGACATAAGTTGATCGTAACTGAAAAATTTACTAATAGTGTAACATTTTATGTTAAAAATATTACAGTTTCCATAACAAATTATGTAAATTGCATGACTATTTCAATTGTAACCTAAAAAGTTATCGTCAAGAGATTTTTTTATTGTAACTGAAATTATTATCAATTGTACAAATTTTTAGAGTAGAAAAGTAACATTTTAGATTAAAATCCAACATAATGTAACATTCTCATTTAATCAAAATTATTACTAATTATATAACTTTTTAAATTAGATAAAGTAACATTTTAAGTTAAGATCTACCGAAAATTAAGCTTAAGTCAGGCCTCGGCACAACATAACTACCCATAGAAATGTCCAAAGTACAAGTAGGTCTTGATATACTTGTCCCTGTTGTGTAAAAATTGTGCACCCCACTAAAATGTTATAAATGAAAAGCCAAGAAGTCCCAACATGAAGACACCCTCTCAGATATTCTTGTCCAACAATAACAACATACTAAATTGGCACTAAAGATGTCATTCTATCTTATTATCTCCATTATTGCCCATCTTCTGGCCCCCGACAACCAATAAACCTCTAAGGATGCGTTTGGTTCATGTAATATAACATTACCTCCGAGAATAGGATTACAGGAATGTAACATTACCTAACACATTATTGGGAATGTTGCATTGTTGTGTTTGGTTTGTTTAGCTAAGATTACGATGCTTGGTTAAAGGAATAAATGATTATTGAATTATATATTTTACCAAATAGTCCTTATTATAATTATATATTTTTTTAACAAGTTGAATTCTAAATATTCAAATGAAAATATTGAAATGCAAGATCAGTGAAAATATATAATTTTACTATAATTAATTTATATATTTTCTTTAAAAATTTTAAATTCATAAAATTTATATATTTTTTTACAAAATTTAAAAGATAAATAGGTTTAATGAAAGAGTTTAATTTTATTTTAACCCTTGAACTTCATTAAAATTCTAATTAGGATTTTTTTTGTAAATCTAATATAATTTAAGGATAAATTTGTAATTTAACCTTCATACAATTTTTTTATTCAACGACAGAAGAATGATATTTTGAAAAAAAAAATATTTTAAGAACATTTTAATCCAAAATGATGGGAAATGACAAATACTTAAGGGAGTGAGGGGAATCACATTCCAGTAATAAGCCCCCAAAATGTCATCTTTGGGAATGGCTTATTACTAGGGTTGGGAATCTTTGCAATCCAAACGGGTAAATCACATTCCTAGAAAAAAATATTCCCCCGATAATCTCACATACCTCATCCAAACGCACCCTAGAGGCTAACCAAATCCAAACTAAACGTACAATCACTTCTATTCCATAAACGTACATATCTTTCGTTTTAACATTCAACAAATCAATCACTTCCCACATAAAACTGTACTCTTTTCTTAGTAGGTGTCCCCCACCCTTTTTCATGTCTTTGGCTTGACATGAAAAGCATTAAAAACGCCAATTATGGTGAGAAAAGATAATTCAACAACTACTTGCAATTTGTTTACACTTTTTAATAGTTGAATAAATGCATTTATGTTTAATGCACTAACAGAGGATAGATAAGTGAAGTATGTGATACCGAAGATTTAACAAATGAAATTAAACCTTAAAAGATTTAATTTATCAAATTTGTTTTAAAGGGGTTTTAAAGAGATGTATATGGTGACAATATATCAAATTCAAACCTTAATTGATATTTTTAACATATAGAATCGAATTTGCATAATTCACAATTGGTGTATAGAGTATGCACTAACCTGGCTTCTGGGAAGCAGTACTTTGGAAGATTATATCAAATACAACCCCCGACTTTCTTACTTGACTCCAGGAATCCAGAAAATGCATTCTCATTGTAGAAAGATGACAGTGGCGAATCCTATAGCTTTGATCAATGGCAACGGTGAACGAGCATTGTCACCCTGGAAAAGCACCAAGAATTGCAGGCAATGTGGGGAACTATGTCATTAATTGGAATATGAAAACAAACTCATCAAATTATGATTTTGGTCCTTCCATTATGCTCAAATTGAGGATATAACCCATGTATTTTAATTTAGCATAATCTCATTCTCGACTTTTATAATGTTATTAGTTAGTTTAAATAGTTGACTCCTGACACAAAAATAAAATAAAATAAACATTATAGACTGAACCTAAATTTGAGCATATTAAAGGGACCAAAACTATAATTGACCAAATAAAGTGAAAAAGCAAACCATCAAATAGCAAACCTCATTCTCTCCAATCTCCATTTAATATATTTAACTTCCCCCGGTTTAAACTAACTCTTGGAAACTATATCAAGTTTTGTAAATCCCTTTGTATTCTTTCGACTTTAGAAAAAAATGGTTTTCCAAAGAGAAGCAGCAGCTGAATCTGAAAGTAGATCTACAACACAACAACGCGAGCTAAGGGTTAATGAAGATAGCAATAATGAAGCAATTGAAGAAGAGATTCCAGGAGAGTGGTTGAACCTAACACTCGGTGGGAACTTTATACCAGCACCTGGAGACTCTGAGTCTGCCTTGGATCCGCAATTAAGACGAGTTCCTTCCAAGGTTTTCTCTTGCAACTTTTGCAAGAGGAAGTTTTACAGTTCACAAGCTTTGGGTGGCCACCAAAACGCCCACAAGCGGGAGCGAGGTGCAGCCAGAAGATATCAATCCCAGAGGATGATGGCGATGATGAGCTTGCCGGCGAGCGGTCAAATGGTTAGATTACTTGGTGTTCGACCGCATTCGCTTGTGCACAAATCAACCAGAGATGCAGCTGCTGCAAGTGTAGCGAGATTTAATGATACTTACACAGTGCAGTTCTTGAACCTTCGGCTCTAATCCATCCATCTACTCTCTTGTCCAAGTTTAAAAATCTCTTAAACTTCAGATTATTGTTAGGCATAACTTTTGAGATTAATTGTATTTTATTGTAAACATAGTTTTTTTTTTAACTGTAAACATAGTTTTAAATAAATGTTTTGCTTATTTCACTTCTTCTATCAAAATTATAACCACAAAGACGAGAATATATATATATATATATACTGCAACTTGAAAACTGACAAACTGATTGGAATCAACGAGATTCGATCAAATCACTTTAGGCTCTTTTTGGATCACACTTTCCTGCGGTGAGATGGAATCTTAGGAGCATTTTGCTCTTCATCTCAACACAGCCTCATTGGTGTTGTTTAGCACTCCCCCATCGAGGAGTAAACTTGCCTAGCTACAATTTTTAACCAGAGCTGAAGGCCTCCAGTGAACACATACAGCATCCCCAGAGAAATGGTAATTTCTATTTCACTCTCTTCAACATTTAAGAAAATATATATTATTTTATTTAGTAATATAAATACACTTTTGATTATTATCCAATATCAAATAATTTTCATATATTTTATAATCAATATGAATGTCATTTAAATAAAACTCAATAATTTATTAAATAAAATAAAGTACCCAAATAGTCTCCCGACTATCCGATGTTGTTTTGTTGAGCCATCGACTATTAAAAGTTACAAAATGATCCCCGATTATAGATCACTACTTTTTTTAGTCCACTACCTATTAAAAGATAAAAAATGGTCATCCAATTATTCATATATTTTAAACTCCTCATTTTCCGTTAAAAAATTGATTACCTTCTGTGTTGGACGTTAACCTACTAACTATGATATGATAAAATCTAATCATAGAATCTCTAATGACTATACAAATCAAGCAATTCTAGGATCAGATTTTATCATATCAATCAACTTAATCAGCAGGTTAACGTCTAGCTTAGACAACTGTCATTTTTTAACAGAAAAAGACAAGCTTGGAACATATGAAATAGTCGGTGACCATTTTGTAATATTTAATAGTCAAGGGACTCAACAAAATAGCGCCCTATAATCGAGAGACCATTTTGTAACTTTTAATAGTTAGAGGACTCAACAAAGCAACACCTTGTGAGTTGTGTTAGGTTTAAACTCTAAGTTTCTCACTTTATCTCTAATTCTCTAATATCCTAGTTTGTAGGAAAGTCAACTTTTAGTTTACTTAGAACTCTTATCTACCTCTTATAAAAACCTCAATGCATTCTTTGTCTTTTATGTGAATTTTTGAATGAAATACAAAGTTTTTCCTTCTTGAAAACCCTAGTTCTGCATGGTATCAGTTTAAGTTAGATCCAAACCCTTAAAAAAAAAAAGTGGCGTGCCTTCCAGCTTGCTTAGCAGCCTTGGAAAGCAACGAGCAGGGTAAAACCTTCCAACTGAACAACTGACGAGAAACCCCACCACCTCTCCACCAACAAATATTGGGTCCAATAGCAGGATTCAAAGTTCTTGCAATCCCATGCTTGGAAAATCCACGATTTGAAGCAATCATGATATGAGAAGCTGAACCCATAGTGACAGCAGAATCCACATGTTTAATCCAGTCTGTTGAAAGAGTAAGATGATGCAGACCAGTGTTATCTGCTTTTAAAAGGTTACAACTTGCTTCACAAATTTGTCATGAAAAAGAGTTCTCCAGGATGGTCAAAGCAGTCAAAAACCAGTATGCTTCCGAGCCCAAACACGCGTGTGCTGTCCGCGAAGGTAGTCCCGACTTTGCCCCGTTTTCTCCTTCACCCGGTTGTCTTGGATTGTTGATTCAGGAGCAAGTGATCATATGACGGTCAATTTCAATCTTTTTCAAAGTTTTCAGAAAGGCAGTTCCTCTTGTAGTGTCTGCACAGCCGATGGTTCTCTCTCACCTATTGTGGGCAGTGGCTCATTCGCTTTAATCGCCACATTGTTTTATCTAATGTTCTCTATGTTTCGAATTTGGCTTGTAATCTTCTTTCGGTTAGTAAATTGTCTGCGGATGTAGGTTGCACTTCTCATTTTAACTCTGGTTTTTTTTTAATTTCAGGATTTGAAGTCAGAGATGGTGATTGGTAATGCTAGGCGTCGTGGTGGACTTTACATCCTAGAAGCCCCTCCTCCCGTTCCAACTCGAGTACATGCGCCTGTTATATCTTCCTTTGTTTTCATATCCCCTAATGATGCTACTGTTGAGATTGTCTTGTGTCATTTTAGGTTAGGTCATTCTAGTTTTAGTTACCTTGCAAAATTATTGCCTAAACTTTTCATTAATAAAAATCTCACATCTTTTTCTTGTGAAGCACATTTGCAGTTCATACCCTCTTTCTCCATCTCACTCGCCTAAACCATTTTCATTAATCCATAGTGACATTTGGGGACCCTCACGTGCCAAAGGTTTAAATAGATCCGTTGGTTTGTTTCCTTTATTGATGACCATTCTCATACTACATGGATTTTTCTTATGAGGGAAAAATCTGAGGCCGGTGACATTTTAAAACGCTTCCATAAAATGATTGAAACACAATTTTAGAGTTCTATTGGTATCTTTAAGTCCGTTAATGGTAGTGAATATTTCTCACTCGTTGGGTTCTTTCTTTCAAGAAAAAGGAATTGTCCATATCACTTCATGTGTCGACACTCCTCAACAAAATGGAGTCGCCGAACGTAAAAACCGTCATCTTCTTAAGGTAACCCGGGCACTCATTTTTTCTACTCGTGTCCTTAAATACCTTTAGGGTGAGGCTCTCTTAACCACAACTTTTCTCATTAATCGTATGCCCAGTAAAATTCTTGCCTTTAAATGTCCCTGGGATATTCTTTCACAATTTTTCCCTCATTTCAAACCTTTCACCACATTTGTTTCTCTCTATGTCTTTGGTTGTACAGCTTTGTCCATGATCATAACCTCATTAAATCTAAGTTTGATCCTCGAGCAATCTGGTGTGTCTTTGTTGGATACTCTTGTCTTCAGAAAGGTTATCGATGCTACTCTCCTTCTACCAAAAAGTTCTTCACTTCTATGGACGTTACTTTCCAAGAACATAAAATGTTCTTCTCAAAAACTGAAATCCGGGGAGAGTGAGTATGAATTTCAATTTTTTCCGATTAATACTGAACTACTCATCAATCTAACTCCTATTGAAACTACCACTACTCAGCCATCACTTGATACCACTAAACTGCCACTTAACACCACCATATCAGATGCTGAAAAACAAATTGTTAACCCATCTGAATCTCCTAAAACACCAAGACCATCTATGACACCCCTTATTCCTCAAACCGATCTCCTTACCTACAAACAACTACCCAAACAAGTCTCACAACCCACTACGCAGCCTATGCATTGTCAAGAGCCGAAACCAGGTTTAACTTTCTTGACAAGCGAAGAAGATGATGATCAGAGTAATTTGGATGTGATGATTGATACTAGTGAGTTACCGATTGCTCAAAGAAGGATAGTATGACGATGTACAACTCATCATTTGAATAAATTTATTGCTTATGGTAAACTAATGTCTGGTTTTAAGACATTTACAGCTCAGGTTGACAGTATTCGCATTCCAGAGACCATTGAAGAAGCATCAAAAAGTTTCGAGTGGAAGCAGGCAGTAGAAGAACTTTCAGCCCTTGAAAACAAAAAAAAACCTGGGTTATTGTCGATCTACCTACTGACAAGAAACCAGTTGGCTGCAAATGGGTCTTTACTGTGAAATACAAGGAAGATGTCAATATTGAGCGGTACAAGGCTAGACTTGTGGCAAAGGGGTTCACTCGGAATCATGGAATAGACTTGGAAATCAACGAGTATGCAAGTTGTAGAAGTCTTTATATGGTTTAAAACAGCCACCTCGGGCTTGGTTTGACATATTCACGAACGTACTTTTGCAAGACAACTATAAACAATGTCAGTTTGATCACACTTTGTTTGTAAAAACTACTCTAGACAAGAAAAAGGCGATCTGAATTGTCTATGTTGATGACATCATCATCACATGTGATGGTTTAGTAGAAATCGAGAAATTAAAGACATTACTAGCAAGGGAATTAGAAACCAAAGAGTTAGGGACCTTGAGATATTTTCTGGGCATGGAAGCGGCAAGATCAAGAGAATGAATTGTCATAAATCAAAGAAAGTACATTCTAGACTTACTTTCTAAGACTGGGATGACCGGTTGCAAGCCCTCGGAAACTCCCATGGAAGTTAATCTCAAGTTAAGAAAAGATGGGAATCAGGTAAAGGATCAATATCAAAGGTTAGTTGGTAAGCTCATCTATCTGTTCCTAACTAAGCCAAACATCGCCTTCTCCATTAGTATTGTAAGCTAATATATGAATGATCCTAGAGAATAACATTTGGAGTCAGTAAATCAAATTTTGAGATATTTAAAGATGACATCGGGACATGGATTGATTTTCATAAAACACGAAGATAGAATAGTAAAGATTTTCTCGGATTCAAGATGGGATGGAGAATTAACTGATAGAAGGGATACTACGGATTATTCATTTGTTTTGGGTAACTTGGTGACTTGGAGAAGCAAGAAACAAGTCGTAGTTTCCAGGAGCAGTGCAGAAGCATAATATCGAGATCTGTGAAGGTGTTTGGTTACAAAGGCTCTTAACCGAACTAGAGATATGCGACAACAACCACTTTGAGCTTCAGAGTGACAGTAAATCAGTAATAAGTATTTCTAAGAATCCAATACATCACGATAGAACAAAACATGTGGAGATCGACAGACACTTCATTGCAGAGAAAGTGAATGGCAGAACTGTAAAGCTAAACTATATCTCTTCACAAGATCAACTAGTCGATGTATTGACCAAGGCACTTCCGAGGATTACTTTCGACGACATTATATCCAAGTTGGGTCTTTATAATATTTACTCCCAGCTTGAGGGGGAGTGTGAGTTGTATCAGGTTTAAACTCTTAAGTTTCTCACTTTATCTCTAATTCTAATATCCTAGTTTGTAGGAAAGTC